ATACAAAGTATTTTTTTTTTAACATGTCACAACAGTTCTTTTTGGTTTTCACTATATATATGTAGTATCTATGTATTTGTATATAATATATACACACTAGTACAATACCCCTGTGTTGAATTAATAAATTTATGCATAAAAATTTCTAAAAAGTAGAAACAAAAGTTATTATGATTGATAATGATTTTTTATTTTTATTTTTTCCAATTAGGAAGTCGCTGAAAATAACATTATTGTTTTATTTAAACAACACTCCTAACCCATTAACCACGAAAATTTTAATCACATTAGTTTTCATATCATATAATAGTGCTTATCAGTACTATATGTCAACTAGAGCTGATAAATAAATATATCTCAATTGATTAATAATAATTTTATTATTTTTCCAAATGAATAAAGATAATTTAATATTTATTTACAAAATGAGATATAATTGTTTTTTTCTCTTATAAAAGCAATATGGATATCAAATTGAATATAGGCAAAATATGATTAATTTGATATATCATATATGAAAAACATAAAACAAATCAAAAAAATGAGTTTTAAAATATATTTGTATTTTAAATTGGTCAAGTTTTTCACTATTTTAAATGTCCAAAACCTGCATGTATAAAAGTCTATGTCTACATGGCATACTCCCAGGCACCATAAATCGGCAAATGGGATCACAAACCACAAAATTGACATATAGGATTCCGGAGCACCAAAAGTTGACACTAAGACTTGAAAAAACTCTAAATTTGTATATAGGTAGGAATCTAAGATTGAGTTGGAAAACAGAAGAAATAAGTGTGATTGAAAGAGTCAAGGTTACCCAGATCATCACATATTAGTAAGTGCCAAAGACATTTACTTAAGAACAATGGTAATAGAGGATCAAGGATGAAAATATATAATGCTGAATAAGAGATGAGAAACCTTCATCGTCAAACTTGTCCCAGTCTTCATCCCATATCGCCGCTACCTCTGGAACTCCAGGTTGCCAACCTTAAGAATTACAAAGTATAGTTATGCATTTTCTTTGTGGAGCATCCAAACACAGAATACACTTGCATGGAAAATGGACTACCAAGTACCAACACATCATCAACATCAACATACCCAGTATATTCCCAACAGGTTGGGGTCTGGGGTCTGGGGGGTCAGTTGTACGCAGACCTTACCCTTGTAATTATACAAGGAGGCTGTTTCCATAGCGACCCAAGGTGCGTTGCGTCGTTTGATATATTTTTTTCTAGAAACTTCACTAATAGAAGAAGAACTGGAATTTAATTGAGTCATTTTGATCTAGTCCATTATTAGCACTATGCCAGGAGAATTGTCAACAATGAAATGAGACATGCAGACCCCTTCATACAATTGTTTCTTCTCGTTTCTCCTCTTTGGAGCCATCAAGAATGCAGGTTTCAATTTAATCATCCATTTATCGAAGTAGTAACATGGTCTATCAATGTAAATAGCAAAGATAAACGGTAAAAAACAAAAAGAAAAGATGGAGTGTGTTATATCTTCTCAACTCCAGAGAGAGAAAAAAAAGTGCAGCAGAACAGTTTAATAGATAGTTACGAATGAAAGATGAATGAGCAAATTGGCTGTTGGCAATGTAAAGTAACAGGTAATACTGGCAAAATTTACATGATTACCTGGAGGAAGCTCAATTAATGAGGATGACTTGATCTCTATAGAGTGCTTCTTGCCACGATCGCCCAAAGCCTTCATTAGTTCCTCAAGATCTGATTGTATACGATCAGCACGCACCTTTACAGACCGGGAACAGACTGAGAATTTCAAGTGGATAAAGGCATGTAAAACATCAATATGCTACAGCTGTACTGACCTGAAGAATACCATCAGCACTTCCACCTTGTTCCACTTTAGTGATGGCTTGTTGCAACTCCGACTTCCTTGCCTAGAAAAACAAAATATTTTGCACTCGGAATCATAAAAGGTGATACGAGTTCAGCAATAGATTTACACTACAGGAGGATGTAGTTAGGAACATGATGAATATTGTGAAATGAAAACAAATCAACACATGGTAAAACATGTTCCATTTTCAAAATTCAAGAATGGCCACAAGAGTTAAATCATCATGCTCTCCCCTCCATAGAATACTGGAATGGAACCCTCGGTCTAAAGGTTAAAAGTGTGTTACCTCGGTCAAAAAAATACTTTTGCAGATCAAGAAAATAAGAAAATACGCCAAAAATGCAAAAGAAACACCAAAAATCAACAAACCGGAAATAATAAAACATATTTGGTTGGGGTAATTGTACCTACAAAGGGTCTTAGGGGCATAAGCATTACGCAGGAATAGATAAGTAGGCAAAAGTGTGGCTCAGAAATAACATGATATTTAGTGTGGACGTGTTACAAAAAGTGGTTACAACAAGGATAAGAACTTGAAGAAATGAGGTGCTGAATGAAGGCGGGCTCAAAGGTATTCATGTGTAGGCAGTGTGCCAATGGTTGGAGGAAGAATGGTTTCCTGTAATTTCAGAAACTAGTCTGACTGTTTTTTTGGCAAAATACGGCTCACTTCAAAGAGGTGAGCCAGGCATTAATTCAGAAACGAATCTCACCATAAACCCTAATTTATTACAAACTTATGCCAGTAAATTGTGAGTGTTATATATAAATTACCTGGATATCACGAAATGCAGCTTCTTCAATAGTTAACTTAGAATGAATTTCAGCAACTTGCTTATATTTCTCCTGGTATTTCTTTTCCAGTAACTCGGCCTGAAAATTAAATGGTAATTTCGCTGAGCAAATAATTAAAGTATCAATGTATCATAACCCAAACACACAATGGAGCTGAATGCAAAAGCAGGATTCTAATATTCAAAGCATACCTCATTTTTGTCAGCTCTAGCCCTTTCAGTAATTTCATTGAGCCAATTATCGCATCTACTTTTATACAAGACCTGAAAGGCAATTTTAAATAAGGGACAGAAGTTTGGAAAACAAAAAGTGCATAATCAATCATGCTTTGGCTGAACTTATCCATAAGGACATAAAAGTACAGCATTTTACAAGATATTCTTTGAGCTGATAACCTGTCATATCATGTTTTAAAAATAAGTTTCTGAAGTGTTTGATTATAAGAAAATGCTGTAATGTATAAAATGTTATAAATGATATACACAAAATAACTTATGACATGCAACAAAATAAGTAGGAGTGTAGATTTTTTGGGAGCTTATAAGCGCTTAAAAAGCTTATCTTTGCATCTCATAAGCTATTTTTTCTAAAAACATTAACAGACAAAATTTGTGGGCCTATTTGATAAAACATCACATGAGATATTTTTAAGAGTTTATAAAAGCTCCGCCAAACACCCTTGTATATCAACCGTAAATGTAATATGATGAAAAAGAGTGAAGTAAAGAGTTAAAGGAAATAAACCATGAGTTACGATAATTATAACTGTAGACTATGCAAATCTATGTAATGATGGAAGATATGAAACAAGATTAGAGTAAACTCACAAGGTCTTGCATTTTTGTTCGATAGAATTCAAGCTTTTCTCTGAAATCCAGAATCAACTTCTCCTTGTCAACCTAGCATTGATCAAAAGAAGTGTGCCAAGTTTTACAAATGACGCTACTTCAGTAAAATGCAAGCTAACGAGTTAATGTAATGCTAGCAGAAACCCGCCTCAAACAAGAGCTGAACTGCATGGCATTCAATAAGGTCAAGTAATCAAATACATGATTGGGCTTAATTTCTCAGGAAACAAATTTTCACATAAGAATGATCGGACTTGATAATGTGACATGCCCCTTAACATCCTTACTCAACGTATTACTCTCATTTAACCTATTTATGTCTTCGACTTTTTACCAGATTTAGCATAAAAGAGTGCCTGAAATAACCTTTCCACAGGCAACATTCCGTGAAAATAAAAATATGCATTTGAAACATGCAAATATTCAAGCAAGCTATATGCTCCATATTTTTCAAGTACATAATGTGATAAAATTCAAATAAATAACAAGATAATCTGAAACCCATTTGGTTCACAAAGAGCTCAACACGCAACAGTCTCTTGGATGAGGACACCAGATTGAAAAACAAAAGGAAAGATTTTAACAGCAGGCAATACCAATTCATTTGTTTCAGCAGCCTCCTGTTCCTTAGCATCCAAAGAATTTGCATCACCATTACTAAGTTGATTAGCATGGGAATTATCTACTGCAGGACCTACAGCGCTTTTCTGATTGAACTGCACGGATCCATCAGATTGAGCAACTATAGGCTGCATTGGAGGCCTTAAACCAGATGATGTGATGGGCTGGGAACCATGGAAGCCCTGGTGCGGTCTTGTACCTGAAGGTGAAGGACAAAGTAAGTGAAACCACTTGCAGTTAACAAAAGTTGAACAGCTGATGAACCAAGTAAATTATTACCAGGAGCGAGGCCCCACCCCGCACTTCCATAAGCTGTAGGTGGACCCGCCAAAGACAACAAAGTTTCATCGAGCAAGACACTATTGGGCAGCGTAAAGGGAAGCTGGCGTCCTTCTCTGTACTGCTCCATTAGATAGAGAGCAACGCAGAACTCCCTCAGAGAAAGCATGCCATCACTATCTTGATCAGATAAATCCCAAACCTGCTTTAAGATTTCTGAGGTGGTCACAGAAAATAACAGTAAGCATGACATTATCCATGAATCAGACAGAAACAGAAAAAAGTGATCGTTCTAATCCAGATATAAGCTAATACTTCCACCACTTTATTTGGACAGCCAATTCTATAGAAAAACTTCCAAAAATTTTATAAACAACAAATTGTGCAGACAAAGGGATTTCTCTTATGAATACCTGGAGAATTTAGACTCTTCAAATATTAAAAATTGACAATGTCCTCCATTACGACAACTTTCCAAGCAGCGAAAACACTGAAGACTAAATAATAAAAAAGCAATAAACTGGACGTATAATGCCATTGAGGTGCTTCATGAAATGAAGAATGTATTTGTTGGAACTAGAGTCAAACACACATGAATTCTCATTACCAGGAGGGGACAAATAAGGAGTGGTGACTTCTACTATCAGAATTAAAAAAAGCAAGCATCATGCAAAGAGAACTGACTGTTCTGATTCTGAGCAGAATCACTCTTCCGAGGAACATCAACAAGCAATAAACACCAGTCACAAGTCAACTTAAACAGTTTTAGAAGGATATGTCACAGATAGTTAAAGGGTAAAGCACTATTAGCACAAGAGATTCTAAGTATAGGAAGCATACATAGAAAGGTATAGGGATGGACACAGTCTTTCCCTTTTACCTCTTGGAAGCCTCCAACTTAAAAAAAGGTTCCGTGCCTGATCACCAGTAAGTTTCCCATCTCTATCAGTGTCAACTTCCTTAAAAACTTTTGCATATTTTTGAATTCCAGCACGTGTCATTTTTTGCCATGGTGCCTGCGGTTGATTGGGAGTGGAACCCCCTAAGCCAGCTTGGATCCCAGGAGACAAGACTGAGGAATTCACTTGAGTTGGATCAGATGGTTTTATAAGAGTACTTTTCAAGGCTTCAAAAGGGTCAGGCTTAGCTGGCGGCTGGGAACTTGGAGTGGCAGGAACAATGGCTGAAAAGGTAGGCAGGTTAACCTCAGGTTTTTGTGGCGCAGATGAAACTTTCCATGATGAAGACTGGTTGCCAGAAAACAAATCTGGAGTGGGTCCATTTCCTGAAGTAACCGGTCCTTTAAGATCCTTGGCTGCTGTTGCAGGAAATGTTAAAAATAGATCTTGGGAAGCTGAAGAACCTTGAGAAATAGAGGGACCGAGTCCTCCAACTAAGTTGTTTTGTGTTATTGGTCCAGTGGAAGCAGAAAAACTATTTCCACTAAGCCAATCTCTATTTGCGTTTGAAAGACCAGGACCAGCCATGGCACCGGAAATATTGGGACTACTCACAACCTGAGACGGATGCAAACCAGTCGTAGACATTGATAGAGGCGTTCTTATCTGGTTACCTTGACTTGGGAAAAATTGCTGGTTCACATTTGCACTAGGAGGATTGCGTCCAAACTGCTGATTCGTGCCTGTGTTCAGAGTTTGTGACTGTCCACCCAGCTGGTTCATACTTGTACTCGTTGGTTGAGCCTGACCAAGCTACTGGTTGATTGTAGTTACAGGTTGAGATTGTGACGATAGCTGGTTAATCGTAATTGCAGGTTGTAACTGTGAGTACTGCTGATTCATGCCAGGACTTGAAGGTGGGGGTCCACGCAGTTGCAGCTGGTTCGTGCCTACAGATGAAGGCATGGGTTGAGTCATGCCAGTATTTGATTGCACAGCACCAAACTGCGGGTTTGGACTAGGAGTTGAAGGAGGTGGTCCTCTGAACCCAAAATTTTGAGGAGATGGCTGTTTAGTAACACCCATCTGTGGTAAAGGCGAAGCAGCTACTGGATTTGGCTGTGGCACAGGTGTGGCAGCCATATTTATTTGTGGAGGCGGGATTTTAGCAGAAGCAGCGCCGTATAGTGCTGCTTTGACAATATCTGGTGTCAATTCTCGCTTGCTTTGAGCAACCGTAACAAGCCTAAGAGCATTATAAAACTCAGGACGACTGAGGAAGCCAGTGTGATTGTGGTCGGCATGTGCCCATATCTGCAACAAACCTAAACATCAATAACATATACAAACTGATTTATCAACAAAACCAGGACCTTCATTCCAATAAAGCTAAGTGACACTCCTAAAAAGACTAGAAAATGAAAAGTACATAAAAAAAAAAAAAAAAAAAAAAAAAAAAAAAAAAAAAAAAAAAAAAAAAAAAAAAAAAAAAAAAAAAAAAAGAATAAATGTAAGGGAAATTTCATGAAAAAAAAGGAGATTGAAATTTGAAGTACACTTTTTCCTGGTTGCCCGGTAAAGGACTTACAGAGTACCTACAACAAAACTGCTAGGACAATGGACATAATTGGGTCCATTCCATATTCCATGCCATAAGGAAAATCTGTCTCTAAAGGAGGCAAAACCACAATCACAGCTTTCTTGAAGACAAACTATAGAGATCAAGAAAGATATGGAAGGGAAGGACTATTGGCACAATATCATTAGCCACTGTCCGTGAATCTGTTGAATCGTAGCACTTTGCAAGAGACTAGAGGTATGTCACTCTCGATCACCATGAATCCTTGAGAACACTTACTTATTCATCTCCTTCTCAAATACAAAATTCCAAACTAAGAAATTCACAACATAACCACAATAGACGATTTTGCTAACATGCCAATCACTTTAAACAACTAATAAATAAGAACAATCAGTAAAACCCTCAACTCACACATTTACGTAGTAATAAATAGCTAATTATTTGTACTCGTAAACCAACAGAACATCTCTAAATTTAAACAGCTCAAAGTCTTGCTGGCTGGAACCAAAGGCATGGATCACATAAACACAAAAAAGAGAAATTTACTAGAAAAATGAGATGCAATCAGAAAAAGCAATCAAAGTAAACTGAAAAGATGGAAAATGGAATTAACCTGCGCAAGAACTTGTCTCGGCAAATTGGAACCCTGCAAGAAAGACACAGCTTCAGCTCCACTGATCCTTCCCTCTGAAAATACTCCTCGAATTTTTCCATATTTACCCCGCCTGCACTCGCCATTTCTACACTTGTTCAGCCTCAAACTCACGAACATTACTCAATCCAATCACGCGGCAAAAGCCAGTAACCTAATATTCTATCAGCAATGAAATTCTAGGGCTTCTTTACAGACCAAGAGGTGATAATGATGATAATTAAAACAATGAGGAAGCTGATAGAAGGAAGAAGAAAGCAGAATTGCGGAAAAGTCTCCAGCAAACCGAACGGCTAATTTTACTTGTTTTCATATTAATTCTCGTTTATATTTATGCAATCTTCTTCTCAGTTGCAATGAAATTCATTTATGATGCAAGTCGTAGGGGAGTACGTAGAGCACGCGTGTTTAGAACAAAAAAATCATAAACGGTAGCAATATATAAATAAGAACATGTTCGAGAAGCTCTATACCTTAGAACTCTTTCAATTGGTTTGCACACAATAGTAGTGGAGCTACGGAGTCATTTATAGTTAATGACAAATAATACATTGACACGCGTCATGTAATAGATGCACATTAGACACATGTGTCACTACATAAATTATTGATAGTTCGTCAACCAATAGCTCCATAAAATTTATGGCACGTACTAACAAGAACATGACTTCCTCCTAAATCCACTCCTACTCTAGTCAAGACCTCTCGATCCTTTTATTTATATGAGCTCCACTTTAGTTCTAAGAGCATCCACAATGTTTTGGGTTCAATCACAAAAAATTGTATGCCACATAACAAATAGACATAGTGTAAAAAAATACATTTTCCAATGCAAACAAAAGTAGACTGGGTCCTGCCGATGTAGCAGCCAAAAAAATAGACTCGGTCTACTCTTAAGTTTATTTTAGACCCAAGTACAGACTTAGTCTCTTTGCATTGGAGTGAATATTATTAATTTTACATATTTTTATCCATGTCATCGAAGACTTGGATTTATTTACATGTCACATAGGCAAGACTAGACTCTGCATTGTAGATGCTAAGAAATAATAACTTTTAATTATTCCATGTTCTAAAAATTTAATTCAAGACATTAAATTTATTATAATAAGAATTTAATTAAATTGATAAATCCTAAGTAACAAAAATTAATCCTAAGCCTAAGCCAAGGAGGAGTTGTTCGAAATATTATTGTAACACCCCGCCTAGACTTACTAAAATCAGAGTAAATTTTTCGCGCTATAAATGTAAAGCACTGATTTAATTTTCGAAAACTCATATTAATTTTTCGAAAATACTTTAACTTTAAAACGCGGGATGCTACTCAACTTTAATCTTTATCTTTATCTCTTTAATTTAACATGCATGCGACCAAGTAAATTCATTCTAGAATTAAGGCCATGAATAATATCGGATAAAACATGCATATTCTGAAAAATCTGACATAATCTGACATATGAAATAATAGTCTGAAATCTGACATCTAAAACACAAGTCTAAGAAGCAAGTACAAGTTCAGAAAAGCACACAAGCATAAAACAAACATAGATAATTCAAACATGTTCAAATACTATATGACATGTTTTCACAAAAATGTCCTGAAGTTGGACCAACACCACATAACTGCTCACGCGTCACGCGGGACTCCATCACCTGAAAAATAGGGTAGTGGGGAGGCGTGAGCACAAAGGAATCAACGGTGCTCCGCCGGAACCGGTACTGAATACTCAGCACAATTAATAACAAACTATGAAATCAACATATATATAAATAAACTGGTCTGGCTATGGGACTAACGGTAAACCGGTACTCATGTGCACACTCTGAGGGTCCCCTCCCACAGAAATCCAAGAAAGGCACTAATCACCCCATCTGGACGCTAGATTCAGGCTGGGCATCGCCCACTCAACCAAGTCACAACTGACATCTGACATCTTGACCAAGACGGGATCACTCATCCGTCTCGGTCCTTCAATTTAATCACATATAGACCTCAGGCATGGTAAATTATTAAAAGCGATGAAATACACAGTACATGGTCCCCACCTGGAAAACGACGAATGCGGATGCTGAAATATCTGAAATATGTTGTGTAGCAGGCGGAGTCTCGACTCTCCACAAGCTACAAATTATGAGCGAAATATTCTAAGTACTAGGCTCAGAATAAAACTCAAATCTTTAATATTTATTGTCTAGGTTCGCTCACTCTACTTTTAAAAATCATTTTAGGGATTTACGAGTTGATTTTGAAAATATTAATGTCTTTGAGGCATTCTAGAGTTATCTGAAATATTTCTAAGTCTGGAACTAAAATCTAACTGAATCTAAGCTGACTGAAATCTAAAATATATCTGGATCTTTAATCTATCTGGAATCTTAACTATATATGAAATCTTAAATATATCTGAAATCTTAAATATATCTGAAATCTTAATTTGACTGAATCTGAAATATATCTCGAACCGTCCGGACTGACTGGACCGGTTCAACTAAACTGGACCGACAGCTCACTCGGAGCTGGTCGGTCATTCGCTTGACTATGTGCAGCTCGGTTTGACCGTGGTCCGAGTTCGGCGCGGCAACTCGGGCCGGCACGAACTCGACTGACACGGCTTAGCCGATGCACGAGTTTGAAATGGTGCCACGGTCACTGACGCAGGGGCGTGCTTGGACCACGGCTAACGGAACGGCGCGTAGACGGCAATTCGGATGGACTCGGTGTTGGGTTCAATATACCGTACAGAACAGAGTTTACAGCGGAATTTAAAATTTTATAAGTATTTATCTTATAAATACTTATTCCGTACATAAGTATAACGATATAACGAATAAGCATCATTT